TTAATTGCCACGGGCGAACCAGCAAAACTCCAGGGATGCATTCTAGGTGATGACCTGACCGGAAAGGGCGAGATTAATTTCAATCACTTCTCCAATCTGGCAGTGTTAATAAAATTAGCGCCTCTGTGACCTCTTGACTCCTCTGCTGCAAATTACTAATTAATTTTCCCTATAAAGCCATACAAGGACAATAACAAGGTCTTAAAAAATGAGATGTGAGAAATAATTGAATTAGTTTCATACCATCCCTAGTTTGACCACAGCTGACATTAGGTCAAGAAAAGTGGGTTATAACAGGAAACAGAAGGTCAGATCAATAAGGAAAAATAACAGCAGAGCTACTATACTATTTAAATGAAAGAAGACCTGACCAAGTAATCATTTAAATTCAAATATGGCATCTGATTCTGTCGAATCAATGGCAGAAAAAAAAAAAGTATTTTACACATGTGAAGCCTGTTCAAGGTTTTCTGTGCCTGTGATAAACTTAATGGGTCATTGAAAAGTTTTATTCAAACACCAGCAACTCAGTTATGATGAAATTATATGTTTAACTTTTCATGAAATTATAGCTTCCAAATTAGGTTTGGCTTTTTATGAAAGTGTGTCATTCGGGTTAAGCTTTGGCATTTTACCTCCCATCAGGCTAAACAAAGCAAAGTCTTTGTGTAACGTGCCTCAATATTTAATACACAACTGTAAGTCTTGGGTATTTCAGCATATTACTACATTGGGGTCTATATCTAGCTGCCACTTGTAAAATCAAATTGAGACATAAAGCTTCCATTCTTAAACCTCATTTTACTCTTTCCCTTCTTAGAATAATAACTGGCTAAAGAGTACAAATGAAGAGAAAAATGTCTTTGAGGCTGGCTGTGCCACAAATGAATGCCAAAAAGGAATTAACATTGTGTGTTTTATCAAATTGCCACACTGCTTGAATATAAAGCATGTCCAAATGGCTGCCTCTGGTTTGATAACTGTGTCCCACACATGCTGTGTAAAATTTGTGTAGGTGTCCCAAATCAATGAATATGCTTTGCTTGAGCACACATTAGGGAATGAGAGGGAACAGGCTATCCATGTTTTGACCTGTGGCTTCAGCCAACTTTTCTTTTTTCCTTCTTAATTAACATTGTAAAACAATCATCTTGACAAGCATCAGTTACCACCATCTCTCGAGATTATATTCAGGCATTTATAAAATGAAACCACTAATTCCTCATTTAAGACATAGGTGGTACACAAGGTAAAATGGAGGGATTCTAAACTGAAACTGGATGCCTTTTTATGTGCCACATTCCTCTGCATTTCTGGTTGGTTGCTTATCTATGCCTTAATGAGCTTGGAACACCTGCTTAATTCTGTCTCTTTTAGAACACTTGTCTCTGTGGTGTATAGTGTGGTGGCCTATAGGAACCAAAGCACCTGCTGATGGAGTCTGCCGAGCTGTCTCAAGAGTCATCGGTCCTTTTCTCCACAACCTCTCCTCCTGCTGTCATGTCTCTCACAAGCATCACGGTTTCTGCTGTGCTGACACCCCCTTCCAGTAGTCCAGAATGTCATGGAGATCCTCATCCTTTGCAAACTGCACTTTCTTTCGAAGAGCATGGCCAGCGGCTATGTAGGCCTCTTCACGGGGGCTTTTCTTGTATGGTCGGAAGCGCTCCCAGATTTTAAGAGTGCTCTCGGAGGAGTACTCAGGGCTAGAGGAATACCCTGAGTAATTGTGGTGGCGGGGAGAAAGCTGTGAATAGGCAGTGTCCTTCTTGGTGCGAGTGAGAGGCTTTAGAAAGGAGACTTTCTGGGCAGGGGAGTCAGTGGCACCCTCATAGTAGAGGGCGGGGAAGGAGTGTCGGTGCTCTGAGCAGTGGTAGTCTGGGTGCACCTCCAAGTGGTGCTGCTGAGCTGTGCTGCCCCCACCTCCGACCACAACACCACACCCACCCGAACCACCACTGCCACCACCGGCTCCCCCTCCACCCCCGTTGCCACCATCTCCTCTGCCATTACTGACTCCCTGAACCCCTATTAAGGGCAACCTCTCCAGTGGCTCCCCGCACCGAACAGGGCTGCCTTTCGCAGGGTATTTGCATGGCTCTGTGCTTCGAGGGTCTGGGACTTCCAGACTGAAGACCCGAGCATTTTTGACAGAGCCACCGGAAGAAACGCTGCAGCGATTTTTAACAGAGTTGATAGGAACAACTGCAGCATCTGCACTGAGTTGCCTCTGCAATGGCCGTGATGCTGTAGCTGGGGGTGGGTCCCTGTAGGGAGGGGAGAGAAACCCACCTCCGCTGATGCCGGGCCGCTCAGAAAGGTGCAAAACAAGAGGAACAGGGGGTGGAGGACGGATTTTAGGGGACGACATAATATGGCATGTCTCTGTGATGGTAGGGGAAAGTGGAATTAGTCCCCTGGCTAATGAAGGGACACTAGGAGGTGGTGGAGAGGCAGTGTTATCCGCTGTAGTTGCAGTGGCCGCAGCTGCTGCCACAACAGCTACAGAGTCTAGTTTGAGTGCATCAATGCAGTTATTGATAATCTGATTTACCTTGTCCACCTCCTTGGCAATGGTAGAGATCTCCGATGTTGAATCTCGGCCATCATCATCAGAGTCATCTCCTCCATTAATCCCATTTTCATCCCTTGTGATTTCATTCCCTGACCCTGTTACAACTCCATCTCTTACTCGCTCCACTCCTCCTGCTGATGTTCTTACATCCATGTAGTTGCCCTTATTGGCCATGGCCTCTGAGAAAGATGTAGCCATCTTCTCCACTTGTGGAAGGGAAGAAAGTCGAGAAGAGGTTGTGTTAGCTGAACTATGAAGGACGCCCAAGCTGGAGGATGCTGACTGGGACAACTTGCCGTGGTGGTGTTGATGATGGGACTGGTCATGTAGTTTCTGCAAGGCTGAAGGATCCTTGGTTGCTGCAGCAGCTGCTTCTGGCCCATAGCGCATCTCTAAGATAGTTTTCTTAACACTAATAGACTTTTCCTTTTCCTCTTGCATTCGACGCCTACGTAAGCAGTAGTACACCAAGCCCAACACAATGACCATCCCAAACAGGCAGCCTAGAATGGTCATAATGTAATGGGTGGTGGTAGAAGGGGTTGCTCGCAAGTCATCAGGCCCTGGAGCCCGAGTTGCAAAATACAGACAAGTGTGATTGTACCGCTGGGAATTGCGAATGGAGGCAACACAAAAGGTATAATTTGTGTGGGGATTTAGATTGTTTAGTTTGACAATCTCATTCTTGTTCTTTAAGTTCATGATGTCTGACACATAGGTGTGGTTGTACTGCACTAAAATATACATCTTACTGTAGGGCTTGGGTATTTGAACCAAGAGGGATGCGGAAGAGAGGGAGACCATTTGCAGCTTAATGGTGGGGCTGTATGTGGGGTCTGTGGTTGAGGAAGCTGTGGGCTGGTGAGAAGGTCCCATATGATCATAAATATCTATCCCCATCCCAGAATAGTCTAAGTCAGGAGGCAGGGCAGTTATGCCACTAACAATAACTCCATTTTTACACATGGATGACAGGATAGAACGAGCATTTCTTCCATGATTACCTCTAGGACTCAGGAGAGGGTAACCAAAAAGTTCTTTTGGGGTCTCACACTGGAGCCTGTCATAGGTGTGAGTGACGTTGTCAAATGCCTCTAGCCAGATAAGGAAGCCGTACAAGTCACAGCCACAATGGAAAGGATTTCCAGCCAGTTCACACACTATTAGCCGCCCACCCAAAATGGTGAAGGTGGATGAATCCAGCTTTGCTAATTTGTTAGAGGAAAGATCGAGACTGCTAAGGCTTGGGCACTCCCAGAAAGCATTGGTTGCAATTACCTCTATAAGGTTATGCTGCAGATACAGGCACTGCATTCGACCCAACCCTCGCAGCATCCCTTCGGTGAGGTTGGTTAGCTTGTTATATCCCAACTGCAAGACCTGTAGATTGGCCTGTCCCGCAAAGGCACCATCCTCAATGTAGGAGAGTTCATTCTTGGTGAGGTTGAGGTCGGTAAGGTTGGTGAATCGGCTGAGAGAGCTGAAGAAAATTGCTTTGAGCTTGTTCTCATTCAGCCGTAAATCATGGACGGTGTTGTTAATGTGCAGTGGGATTGTCTCATATGGAGGCTGGTTCTGACTGCAGATTGCCAGCCACACATAGCCTTTATCCCCCTCAATTAGCCAGCAGTCACCCCTCACAAAAGAAGGTACATGGAGAAGGAGAAAAATAGGAAGAGAGAGGATGAGAAAGGAGGGTGGAAAAGCACAAGTTATGCTGAAACTGCAGGCCATTTTGGAGTAAAAACTGGATTTGTTTTGATCAAGGTGGGAAACGAAAGAGGTTAGGGCTCAAAATAAGAAAAAATGATCACAGGAGATGGATGGCCAATAGGATTACAAAGACACAGGTTCGGGCAAAAATGTTTTTTGAGGGCAGTCACAGCTGTTCAGGGACCATAATGCCAAACATAGTCCCCATTTTACGTGGTCCGTGTTTTAGGTTTATAGCGTCGCTTGCCACAGCTGTAACTCATGGTCTTTGACTTCTTGACTACTCCCTTTTTGAACTGCTGAACAATGTTTTCAGTCTGTCAGTCTTTGGATCTGTACAAGAGACAAAGGGTGGGGGGGGGAGAAAATTGAGAAATTAATGTTTTTTATGCTTTAATTATAAACAAAACCAGATTTAGAAGACCACATATGTATTCAAATGTCTAAAGGCATAAAACTGTGTCTTTACTGCACTAGTTTTATAAGTCAACAATGTTTGATTATGTAAAACCTTATTGGTACAACTAAACAATAAAGCCTCAAAATTGTTATAAAAGAAAGCATAAATGACAGCATAATTAGGGACCAGAATGTAGAACAACCATTAGTCTTTGTAAGTCACTGAGGTTTTACAGCGCCTCTGAGGATTCATTTAGGATTACCATTATCCAAACACCACCATTCTACATGTCACTGCCACACATAGCCTTTATCCCCCTCAATTAGCCAGCAGTCACCCCTCACAAAAGAAGGTACATGGAGAAGGAGAAAAATAGGAAGAGAGAGGATGAGAAAGGAGGGTGGAAAAGCACAAGTTATGCTGAAACTGCAGGCCATTTTGGAGTAAAAACTGGATTTGTTTTGATCAAGGTGGGAAACGAAAGAGGTTAGGGCTCAAAATAAGAAAAAATGATCACAGGAGATGGATGGCCAATAGGATTACAAAGACACAGGTTCGGGCAAAAATGTTTTTTGAGGGCAGTCACAGCTGTTCAGGGACCATAATGCCAAACATAGTCCCCATTTTACGTGGTCCGTGTTTTAGGTTTATAGCGTCGCTTGCCACAGCTGTAACTCATGGTCTTTGACTTCTTGACTACTCCCTTTTTGAACTGCTGAGCAATGTTTTCAGTCTGTCAGTCTTTGGATCTGTACAAGAGACAAAGGGTGGGGGGGGGAGAAAATTGAGAAATTAATGTTTTTTATGCTTTAATTATAAACAAAACCAGATTTAGAAGACCACATATGTATTCAAATGTCTAAAGGCATAAAACTGTGTCTTTACTGCACTAGTTTTATAAGTCAACAATGTTTGATTATGTAAAACCTTATTGGTACAACTAAACAATAAAGCCTCAAAATTGTTATAAAAGAAAGCATAAATGACAGCATAATTAGGGACCAGAATGTAGAACAACCATTAGTCTTTGTAAGTCACTGAGGTTTTACAGCGCCTCTGAGGATTCATTTAGGATTACCATTATCCAAACACCACCATTCTACATGTCACTCTTTTGCAGAAAGAAAGTTTGCTTCCTTTGTTATAAAACATTTTTGTAGCACAGCTACAGTGGCTTAACAAAACAGGAAGATGTTTGTATGTGTACGTGTGTGTGCACACATGTTTGTATGTGCATGTGAGTTACTTGGTCATTGAAGTTATGCACTAGAATGTTTAGGAAAGTTTACGCTGGTAAGCTTCAGGTAGTGCCATAGAGTCTCTAAATGCCTCAATACCAATATTGTCCAAGCACCTCTTTCTACAAGAATTAGCAATTAAAAACAATGTTAACAAAACTTACCATACTTACAGTGTGGTATATTATGTTATATTTGGGTGTTTTATAGGAGTTTGACACTATAGACATCAAGCCTCAGGTTAATTTTGTAACTTCAAAGAAATCTGTCTAATAAATCACTGAATGCTCAACAGGCCTCCTGCTGGTGCTAATTCGTAAATTTTCTAAACTGCCTCTGTATGGAGACACCGCTGACAAAATGTTTATTTCATAATTTCAATTAAATTCACACAGAACTAAATTTTAAAGGGGTCATATGATGCGATTTCAATTTTTCCTTTCTCTTTGGAGTGTTACAAGCTCTTGGTGCATAAAGAAGATCTGTAAAGTTGCAAAGACTAAAGTCTCAAATCCAAAAAGATATTCTTTATAAAAGTTCAGAGTCAGCCACACCTACCTAAAATGGCTTGTTCTAACACGCCCCCACATACTGTATCTACCTCACTATGTGGGAAGATCTGCATAACGCCGCCCAAATGTTCACGCAAAGAAAGAAGGCGTAACTTTTATTCTCGCTGTAGTATTGTTGACACTGCAGCCATGTCGTGAAGACGCTGTGTGCTTCGTTGTGAAAGCGAAACTACTTTGTTTGGTCTTCCAAAAGAGGACACGACTACAAATCAGTGGTTAATTTGTATTTACAACACTGTTCCAGAACACTTCAACCCAAATATTCAGATGTGTGCAGCACATGGAGGACTGTTTCCTGATCCTGGAAGAGTAGACTACAATGCCGGCTGTTCTGACTCACAGACTGTAAGTAAGTTTTTTTTATATTTAAAGAATTTGCCACTGACGATTCAAACGCGAGTTTTGAGCAGTGTAGAGTAGCATTGTTGTTTGTCATTTCTCCGATCACAAATGCAGACATGGTTTTATGTTTACGTGGCGCGATGCAACGCAACGCGTAAAAAGACAGTATAAGTCATTATAATCAGTAATTATGTCCCCACTGGATGCAACAAATGCCTCGTTTGTAATGGGTTTTAATGTTTATGTCTCGTCGCTCCGGCCGGACACGGCATCAACAGTATGGTGAGGGGCGTAACATTTCCGTCACACGCTTGAGGTATTCGGCCAATCACAACGCACTGGATAGCTGGCCAATCAGAGCACACCTCGCTTTTCAGACCGATGAGCTTTGTAAAAATCGACGCGTTTCAGAAAGGCGGGGCATAGAGGAGAAACAATAATGTACAGTATGTGGAAAATAATGTGTTTTTTTTACTTTAAACTGCATAAACACATTTCATTACACCAAATACACAAAATAATGTTCTTTTTAGCAGCATCATATGACCCCTTTAATAATCCGTTTACTACAAATATTGTCATGAAACCCTACATAATAAAACCTAAGCAACACTGCATAGCCACTCAGTCTAGAATTCAAGCATCCAATTTTATAATAGTCACTTCTCATTCCTAAAGTCCTCACAGAAACAGAGAACCTGTTTTCCCTGGTGCCTATACTCAAGATTGAAATTGACAATTCAATTCCTCAACTGACGTCAGCTGATTTACCACTGACCCTCAGAGTGCCATAACCACGCGATACTTTCGTAACTGTCAATCCTTCAGTCCCTCAAGACTGAAACGTGTGTGCTGGTCTTTTCATCTCTGTAAAAACAACATTAGCTAAGGAGCTTTAAAACTCTTTTACATCAGCCTCATTAAATACTCACAAATATAAATTATGCCCAAGAAAATGCAATAGGAATGTTTGTGTGCAACTGGGTGTATTTGTATGGCTATGAATGTATGTGTGTAAACATGTTGGTTATGTCAAGGGAAACGTGCATTGCATGCAAATAACGCAGAAGACTTTTATGCAAATTGAATGTGAAGAGATGTAATTCTAAAGGGAGTATTAATTACCCCGCTTATGAGAAAAAAGCTTTACATAGCACTACTTAAACAGCCATAATTGTAAAATTTATCCTAAAAAGGTTGCATAATGTAGCTTCAATATGCCAGATGATTGTTGCACATTAAACTATCAAAAGATATTATACCCAGTGGAATATCTCAAACACCTTCAAACTAATAAATGTTAATACCCCACACTGTACTGGGATAAACACAGAATGATGAATTAATGGTGCTTGCTAATGGTTTTCAAAATTCCAGCCGTAAGTATTAAATGCTGACGTGCGAAAAATATATTAAATATTTCCACCATTGTTGACCAGAATTATAAAGCTGAAGAATAAAGCACTGAAGACCCAATGAACTAATAGTGGGGCATGTTGTCACAATGGTATCTGTAAATAAACAGGCTTTTCGATAAATTTTAAACAGTAAATTCTATTTTAAATGGACTTTTGATTCAAAACCTTATAATTATTGAGATACATCTCTTATGACAATTTCTCCTTGTGACAACTATCCCCTGATCAACCATATACATTCCATTCTTCTCTTTATAGCTTTCAATGCCAGCAGTTTAACTTTCTCATCCCCAGTCACATCGGCTCATTTCCATCCCTCTGTTCACTGAGCTCTGACCTCATCAGATAAAGATCTAATTAGTTAGTCTACTCACTAGTGCCTTGAGGAAACACTCCACCAGTACTGCTCCACACTGAGAAGGTCTGTCCAAATACAAGGTCACCCCAATATTACAGTCGAGGCCTCATAGCAGCATTTTAACACATAAGATAACTATCAGTCTCTGCTGGATTCATTAAAAACAACCTCTCCAAACACAACACTGACTGAAGGGCCATTTGGCTTTCAGTGATTTAAATTAAGTAATAATACAAGAGTTGAAAGATCTCCCAAATGTACTATCACAGTAGGGTTGTAATGCCACAATTTAAAATAAACACCATTCTGAGGTTTTCCTGAGAGAGAGGGCACTAGTGGCAGTATTGGCTTCCTTTGTGCACTAGACGAGATAAAATTTGACCAAAAGAGGGACCAAAAAAAATAAAAAATTAACAAAGTAGTTGCACAATCAAATGAGTATGTTAAGTGCCACAGCGTTAAGATATTTTCAGAGAAATCAAGCTACACATGACTAACTTAGTGTTCTTTGCTGGTATAGGAGAAAGTATTTAAACAGCTTTAAATTAATCAAAGATGCAAATACATTTTGCATTCGAAATCCACTTAGCTCAAAAATCAAACCTCTGTTTAAATGGGAATGACGCATCTGCGCTTATGCGAAGTTGTATTCACTATGTGCCTGCATTTCTATCCATGTTCTTTCTTCCTGCCTTGTCTTTTAACGGCGGCATTGTATGCTAGCAATTTATCCCTACTGTCCTTTCAAAAGACAAAAATAGCATGCGCTAGCAACAGCAAGGAAACAATTAAGACCATTTCTTTCTTCCTTTATTCCACCAAGCTTCAGGCTTTTGTGGAGACCTGAAACCCTTTCCGTTTTCTCACGTCGAGTTACCACACAGCGTATCTGCGATTTAATTAGGACTAGAGGCTAATGCTAATTACAGCTTGTGAAAGCAGGTGGACCAGACTAGGAGTTACTTTAGAGACTTCATAGTCTAAATATGAACCTCTTGGAGATGAGAGAGAGTCAAAGAGAAAGCAAATGAGATCAGAGGTACTAAGACCATTATATGCAGGGGGAAAAAAAACTTTTCAGGCAAATGCTATGCTAGCCAAAGGTCAAACGAGGTGCTACACGTGTTGAGCGATGGGGCACATTTACTTATATTTATTAAAATACTTCTATCACCAACTTAATCTGCAGAGACAACTATAAAGTAACGCACTGATTTCCCAGATAAGTGTTAACACTGTGGAGTAGGGCTGTGCAAAAAATTAAATGCGATTTTCATGCTCATCTCATCAGTAAAGCCGGTTCTGTGATTAGTAGTAAATCTCCAGCACGTGCTTTCAGATGGAGCAGCATTTACTACACAGAGCCGTAGATCACTGACAAGCTATGCAAAATCGCGTTCATAATCGGCAATGAATCGCCTGCGAGTTATCAAAATCTTGCTCTGTTTGTTTAAGCAGACTAGCCCAGTGACTCAACCAATGGCATGATTTGGGAGCGGAGCTATCTGTTTGGTTGACCAATGGTAGATGTGTTTGGAAAACCTGTTTGAAAATCTTAATTCTTGTGATTTTTTTAGGTGAACAACAATTACATATTTCCTCAAAGTCAAACCTTTCTCAACTTTGTCGCCTCAAATGGTCAATTCTAATTTAAAATGACTTTGTCTTGTCACTGCAAATTGCTGCCAGTGTGAACGCCTCAAGTGAGTTAGATATGATATCGGTATCTAGCAGTACTTATTGCTCATTAATTATTTCAATTAGGGATGCACAATATTATCGAAATGTTATCGAAATCGGCCGATAATGGCTTAAAATGCA